TCTATCAGGGGTGGCATGTTTTTATTCATATAGTTCTACTCAACCAGATCTCAAACACAAAATTGTAGAACCAAACAAGTCATCAAGGTGTTATATTTTATATTAATGTTCATGTCAGGTGAAGAATAATTAAAGGGAGATAATCCACACATTCAACACCTGTCAATCCACTTCCCACAGTCACCTGAGCCATCTTGTGTTTGAAAACATATATATTCACATTGTCTGTGTATGCTATTCGATAGTAAACTGATATATTTCAGTAACCAAGGTTAACGAGATGATATTTTGGGGTGTTGCTGCTGCAAAATATGAACTTTTATTATTCAAGGTTCAAATATAACATTCATATAACTCAAAAGCAATCATATTTCAACTATTTAACAAGACAAACTGTAAAAATCCTTTGTTATATTTTCAGGTGAAGAATACGGCCTCAGACCACAGTTATCCCTCCTAAGTTTTACAGGAACCGGAAGGAAAATAGGAGAATATAGTGCCCTGTTTAAATAGGAGAATATAGTGCCCTGTTTAGATGGGAGAATATAGTGCCCTGTTCAAATGGGAGAATATAGTGCCCTGTTCAAATGGGCTGTTCAGCCTGTGCCAATTTTTTGGAGTGACTTGTGATAGCTTAAATGAAAGATTAGACATTGTTGTATGTTGACAATTTTTTGTTAGCCACAATCTGTGAATGTATTGATTCCAGCTTCCCAGGACTTGACCCCAAGTTGAAGGCCGCTCTGTGTGTTTCGACTGGAACACTCCGGTGAGCATTGTTGACAGTGGTTACTGCGAAAGGTAGCTGGTAAATGTCGACCGAAACTTTGCGTTTTAAGTGACAAGTGGCAGGTTGGTCAGCATGCAACAGTAGAATGGCCTACAACCGATAATAATTATGGAGGGCTGTCATGTCATTGTAGATAGCAAAGAAGGAAATTAATTGTGGTCTGAGGCCTGATATGGTGAAGCTAGTGCACGTGTTTGATTCGCTATATCTCTATTACAGTATTTTATAAGAAATGGACTTGAGACTTGGCATATATACTAACAGTAAGTGTTCAAATCTGTGTACATGTGTTTCCAGGTTGAAATATTTTTTATATATTTTTAAATGAATTTGTTTACTTTTTTGAACGTGCGGTTTTATGCATGTTGTTGAAATGAGTGAGTGCAAGCATCATGATAAGTCATATGAGTTCCAATATGGTAGAATTGTGTATCACTACACCTGTTGTGCCTCGTTTGAGCTTGGACAATATTAATATGGCCAACATTGAAACCTTTTATAAGAAATACAGAGATGTGTTTGCTTGTCATTCAGCCCAAAGTGACCAAAACGGCAGGTGTCAAAATGCCCAGTGTCAAATCTTGTCAAAGCCCAGTGGCTATGGGGTTTTGAGGCACCATTGCCCCATATTCAACAACCTACTCCAGGCACTACTTAAGCTATATAACCTAATCTATCAAAACGGACAGGTACCAACTCCCTGGAAACAGGCACTAGTCATCCCAATCCCTAAACCCGATAAACCAACTAACCAGGCAAATTCTTATAGACCAATATCCCTAACCTCAAACCTATGTAAAGTAATGGAATCTATGGCCAAAAATAGACTACAACACTACTTAACTCAAAATAACATCATAAACACAGATCAAAGCGGTTTCACTCCTGGCCGCTCAACCTTAGATAATCTCACCCGACTAGAACAGGACATCAAGACAGGACAACTCAACAAACAATACACAACAGGCATCTTTCTGGATTTCTCCAAAGCATTCGACATGGTTTGGCACAACGGGCTAATACAAAAACTTTAAAAAATAGGACTAAAAGGACAAATAATAAACTACATTCAGGACTTTCTAAACAAACGTAAAATAACAGTGGGGATAGACCATACTCTATCGGACCAGTGTCCCCTAGAAAATGGCACTCCCCAGGGCAGTATCCTCAGCCCCACACTCTTTAATATAATGATAAACGATCTCTTCGAGGGCCTATCCCCTAAAGTAAACACATCCAAATTCGCGGATGATGGAGCCATCTGGATCCGCACAAAAAGTATTAATATGGCCCAAAATTTACTCCAAAAATCTCTTAATAAAATACAACAATGGGCTGACAAATGGGGCTTCTCCCTTAACTCAGAAAAAACAACAGGAATAGTATTCAAACATAAAAACATGAAACCCGCCTCCCCAATCCTCCAGCTAAACAACCAAACAATCAAATTTCAAAAACAAACCAAATTCTTAGGACTTATTTTCGATCAACATCTCACCTGGGATGCTCACATCCAAAACCTAACAACTAAATGCAGTAAAGACCTAAACACCCTAAGATGCCTCACTGGCTCAAACTGGGGAGCCTCCAAAGATACCCTCCTCTCACTCTACATATCACTAATTAGATCAAAACTAGACTACGGCTGCGCCATATACAACACCCTAAACAACTCTCTATCTGAAAAACTTGACTCAATACAATATCAGGCTCTCAAACTAATTACACGCACCCAACATGGCACCTCCTACACTTCACTTCAGGCCTTAACAGGAGAAATGCCACTAAGTCTACGCAGGGAACAGCTAAGCTTAAATTTCTGGGCCGCATCCCAATCAAACCCTCTGATCCAAAACCTAATAAACCAGAATATCAGCCCCAAAAACCAAGCTCTAGCTCGTAAACACCCCTTACTTACCCCAATATCCCAAAGAATAACAAACTACCTAAATGAACACAAAATTAAAAATCTTAAACAAAACTGCAAACAATCAAATATCTTCACCCCTAAACTTAAAATACCCAAAATAGACACAACACTAGCTAGCCAAATAAATAAACAAACCGACCCAAACATAGCTAAAACCACTACACTAGCATACATACACGAAAATTGGCCAAATTGGTGTCACATTTACACGGACGGATCTTCAGATCCGACCTCCAAACACACAGGTTTCGGAGTCCATACCACACAACCAACTAAAACTACACAATCCTTCCGACTCCCAAACAACCAATCAATATTCACGGCAGAACTAATGGGCATGGCCTCAGCCCTCCATAGTCAAGAATCCAAAAACCACAATAAAATCCTAATACTTACCGACTCCCTAAGTGGACTGCAAGCCCTCCAAAACAAAAATACCAAAAACCGACCTAAATTAATAAATCTAATACTTAAAAGCTCCAACGACCTAACTAACGCAGGCAAACAAATAACTTTCTTGTGGATACCCGCCCACGTAGGAATATACGGTAATGAAAACGCCGATAAGGCAGCTAAACTATCCCTCAAAATCCCAGAAATAAGCTTAAACTTACCCATCTCAAAATCAGAAATTAAAAGTGTAAATAAGCAAAAAATCACCAAAAAATGGCATAACCTATATCTAAACTCAAATAGCCAAATCAAAAAAGTACTCAGCAAGCCACTAACCAAACCAAAAATTCACCATCCATCAAAAAAAATCGACAGAGTAATCACTAAACTCCAAACAGGACACACCAACCTAAATAACCACCTAAAAAAAATAAAAAAACATACTACAGGTAACTGCCCACACTGCAAACAACTAGAAACCCCAGAACACGCACTCATCTACTGCACACACTACCTAACACATCGAACCGCATTACAAACCACCCTCAATCTAAACCAGGCTCTCACTCTAGAAGCAATACTAAACCCACAAAATAAACTAGAAAACTTCAAGGCCTTAGGCGTATTCTTAATCAAAACGGAACTAATAAAACGCATCTAAAAACACTATAATCCACCAAATCAAAATTACATAAACACACAAAAATCCACCATACCCAGCTCCCTTAGTTCTCCTCCCCTACCCCATCGGCATCTATTCCAAATCTCAAAATTCCCAAATTCTATATAAGCAACCCCTAAAGCCCCCTCTAGGGTTGCACACACCACTTTCGCCCCTTTCGGAAACACATTAAATGGCCTGGCCGGGCCCGTGTGCGAAATACGCATCAGTCGGAAAGCGCACGTTAAATCTCCAAAGTAAGTAAGTAAGTAAGCATATTCAACAAGTGGCGCCCCGTAAATGCTCACAGACTCAGCTATAGGCCTATAGTGCATAGTGAAGATTTCGACATAGGTAATTTGGACATCAGTCATTGTGGCCATAATTCTAAATGCACCAATGTCGAACATCTGTCTGCAGAGCCACATATAGTGTTAATGCAGACAGAGTAGCCTGTGTAAACAGGGGTACATGCAAAGGCCATGCGCCATATCCGGATTGCCTTTTGGCATTGAAGCTGTGCAAGGAGATAACAACAAGCAAAGTAAATGATTAAGATTTTATTCATTAAGTGATTTTCGCATTGTAGCATTTCAAATATTCAAAGGACATAGCTTTACAGCAACGGGGACCTATTTCAACTCGGAGTTACACAAAGTCAGTCACAAGCAAGTCATTAGCTACAGTATTACTGCACATGTTCAATTTTTTTAATATGAATGTTCAGTTTGTCTACTAAAACATGGCGTAGGGTCAAGTTGACTCTTTTTGTAGTCTCCCCCTCTGTTTGTCACTGAGTTTTCACTTGTTCACAGATTTTGCTTCCATGCTGCACAAGTTTTCTTTTCACAACACTGGGACTTTTCTGGTATTCCTTGTGATAGGCAGCCTACTTGTCCATTTGTTCAAGTGACCGCACTGCTCGACTTGATGGTTCGACTCCAGTATTTAGGCACTAGTCGATTGCTGATGTCCAAGGGCCATTGTTGAGTCTATGAACAGCTGAAGAAGCCCTTCCAATCATATTTCTGAAAAATTCACATTCTTTCGCAAAGAAATACTCATTGATTGGTTCAAGGCTTCACATTTCTGTGTGTCTGTGTGTCTGTGTGTCTGTGTGCAGTTTCATTTGTTCAACTACTTCGACACTCAGCTTCATCATAAGAATTTCATTCATCAAGTGTTTATCATTGTCATCCATATTGAAATGAGTGATTTTGTTGCAGCCGAGGAACATGGACTGCTGCCGCCAGCTGTTTGTTACACCGCCTCGACACACAACAGAGTACCGGGCACACCTGGAGCAGTCGCCACTGTAGCACTTGAGGGTTGCTTCGAGCACTCTAGGTAAGATACTACGAAGTGTTTTCATGTCGCCTGCATGATCCTTCATGAGTTCTTTCAGTATCAGGCTGCACAGTGCCTTTACATCCTGACTTAGCACCTTCTTAGCCTCCAGTTTATGTGCACGAGTAGTGCCGGGGAGCATATCTGGGTTGAAATCAGCTCTGTAGCATTGCCGAAACTGTCCTTGAGCCAAGTGGGTGGGATCAGCTAGCCTCTGCACCTTCCACATAGGGTCTAACACTTTCAGAGACCGGTCTATTCCTTCTGCAGTCCCCATCTGCAGTCCCCATCGGTAGTAGCATACTTAATAAGCACACCCTGTAGCGCAAGCTGATTTCCAATGTCCTCTCCCATATTGAACTCGGAGAATGGAGCGAAGGCCGACATGTTTGCAGTACAGTCTGGGTGCCCCCTGGACTTTTCACATCCATTCCTTTTCCTTTCAGCCAAGCACCAGTTCAGCAGAGCTCATTCTGGAATGACATGCTGATGATGAACTCAGTTACCATGGTTACCGTTTCGCCCAGGCTTCATCCTGCATGCTATTGGCCATCCATGGCAACAGTCATCTCCCATGGCTCAGTACCCCTCTTCCGATTAACTTCCTTTACCAATTCAACATTTTAAGCCATATCCTGTGTATTCAGTTCAGTTACAGCCTTAGCCACCTTGTAAGAGGCCCACTGCATACTCCTCCTGCATGGGGGAGGAATGTCCATGTTCGCCATCAGTCACCTGGCGCTTGTGTTGCCGATAGGGGTGTCTTGAAGACCCAAGACAAGTCCTGTGTTAGGTGCTGCTGGGTTTGGTCCAGGTTTGCCTGTATTGATTTCTTTACACAACTTCATTTCAGGTGCTGTGAAGTCACATACAACACATTTCAGTGTCACTTTCCAGCATGCTCCCCATTTTCTCTCCTTGGCTATCTGCAGCTGAGGGTCGTCGCAGTCAGTGGATGTCGAACGATGCAGTCGCAGAGCTGTGTTCTATGCTTGGCCACCTTTTCATTGTTGACTAGTCGCATAATCTCCAAGTCATCTTTGCTTGACTCTTGTTTCAGGTCTTGCCCGCAGTAGGACGCAACAGCCACACAGAGGTAGAGATGCCCTCACAATCAGATGTCGACAGCCCAGTGCCATCCGCCTTTCATCGTTGACTCCAAGTTGAAGGCCCTCTGTGTGTTTTGGCTTGACAAGTGACAAGTGGCAGGTTGGTGGGCTGTCATGTCAGTGTAGATAGCAAAGAAGGAAATTAATTGTGGTCGGAGGCCTTACTGACACATCCAAGGGAGATAATCCACTTTCATCACACCTGGCAATCAAGCTCCTTCAGTAACCTATGCCATCTAGTGATGGAAAAATAATTAAATCCTATTGTCTTTGTATGCTATACAAAAATATTCTAATTTAACCTTTTGTGTTATTTATCATATTTACTTACCTTGGCTAACGAGTTTACCTGGCCTAACGAGTATATCTCTAGTAGGCAACACCAGCAGCACCCATAACACCCCTGTTCTGTTGTTCCATTGAAAAATACAACTCAAAAAGGTAAAGTATTTGACATATATTTTTTTATTGTTTCAGGTGAAACATTTCCACACCTCCACATCAGTTCTCACCTGTGCAATGCCTACCTTTCTCCATCTTCCCGAGGCAAGGGAATAAACTGACTATAAAAGTCCATTTTCCACCCTTGCCGAATTTCGTGGCTTGATCATAGCACTACCAGTAGCTATTACGTGTTATGGCCCTTCTATGTCCATCAATCTCCCTCTCATATCACTTGTACTTGTTTCAAACAATATGGCAGCGCATAGTCAAGATGATCTGATCGATAATCAAAATTTATATTGTAATAAAATGGGCCTTACCTCGCAAAGTGTATCAGATCATTTGAGCACCATGATTTGAAACATTAAAGATTTGGAAAATATCTGTCGACTCCCAGTTGACGGAACACATGCTTTGGAAATCATGCATTCGAACGAAAGCTGCACGGTGGAATCCATGTTGTTTACACACTGGGTGTCTAGTTTTTTACACGATTTTGATTGGACTATGCAAAGACTCCTTAGTCCACCCACAATGTAACTCCAGAATTCCAGCCTAGTTATGCAAGGTTGGAAACTGGACTTTTATAGTCAGTTAACTCCCTTGCCTTGGGAAGATGACTTTCCTCCTGCTGCCTGAACATCAGAGGACTATTTATTCCCTGTTATCGCATTTTCTGTTACGGTAAATCTATTTATAGCTCCCTATTCTGTTATGTTGTCTGTTTTTTATTGATTGTACACCTGCGATTACCTTTAATTAAAGAATGGTAAATATTGGAACATTTATTCATTACTTTTCAAATACTACACTATCTTGGCTTTGCAGTGATAGGTAGCTTGTTGGTATTGCCACAAACATAAATATACCAGAACAGTTTAAAGAAACATGAATACTTTTCTTTAACAAGTCTCTGGGAACTTGGGACCCATGAAGATTCTGGGGTAGAATAGGTCTTCAGCAACCCATGTTTGCCGTAAAAGGTAACTATGCTTGTCGTAGGAGGCCACTAACGGGATTGGGTGGTCAAGCTCGCTGACTTGGTTGATGCATGTCATCGATCCCAATTGTGTGGATGGATGCTCATGATATCAATCACTGGATTGTCTGGTCCAGACTCGATTATTAACAGACCGCCGTCATATAGCTGGAATATTGCTGAGTGCGGCGTTAAACAAACAAACCAACCATCTGAGAACTTGGTGTGCAGGGTTCAATGCCTGTGGGAACTTGATGTACCAAGGGAAATAACTCTGGTTGGCTTGTGTTGAAAGAGTTAAGGTCGTTTGTGCTGTTTCTGGTTAAATGTTCTACAACACTAAAACAGAATCAGTTGTGCCTGAGCCTTTCGTGGCCTGAGCCTTTCGTGGCCTGAGCCTTTCGTGGCCTGAGTCTGTCTTGCAAATAATGAATTCTATTACAATGGTGGAGTTTGAATAATTCCAGCTTTTTCTTTGCATGGCAGTCATGGGATTTCTTGTATGTCTTAGCTTTATGTACTTTGTTATTGCTTTTGCTAATCTCATCAACTATTTTAACTTTTGCAGTGACAGCACACCCAAGCCCAAGTCGAAGTTTCCAAATTGACTTTGCCGGACTCTTGCAGTTGACAAGATGAACAAACAGCACTGTGGGCTCTACCACGGAAGTTACGAGCAAAGGTTGTATCACGAGGTTGTATCACGAGGTTGTGTCACGAGGTTGTATCACGAGGTTGTATCACAAGGCTGTATCACGAGGTTGTATCACGAGGCTGTATCACCAGGCTGTATCACGAGGCTGTATCACGAGGCTGTATCACGAGGTTGTATCACGAGGTTGTATCACGAGGTAATGACCGGTGCATTGCCTTGTTTGTTGCTTCACACTGTTGACAGTGGAGGTTGATTTGGGTCTTTTCAATCATTTTAGGGCCGAGACAAAAGTCTAAATCTAAATATTTACTTTGCAATAACAAATTTTGCTTCTCCCCCTTGCAAACAAATGACTGCTTTCTGTGTTTTTTGTGATCCCCCATGTAACATTTTGCAAAAGCATCACAAGTCTATGAGAGAGATTTCTTCCTCCTTGGCAGGTCACCTGCATCACCTGAGTTAGCAGCTGAAAACTCACCTGCACATCTGGATGCACAGTCTAAAGAAAATCTATTTGCCAAATTTTGTTTATCTTGTTTGGCTCTAGCCGGCATCATATCCACAACAAATTTAGAATTTTTAATAAACGTTTTTAATAAACGTTTGATGCCGTGTATGAAGAAAAGTTTGTGGGCAAGCATACATTTCACCTGCTTCATAAATTTCAATGTGCGCTGCACTGTCAGCAACTCTTCCACAATTTGGTCTTTCTTTAATTCCCTGAAACACTGCAGTTCACTGTTTTAATTTCCAATTGATTCTGACATATGCACATCGGATGTGCAGTGTGGGTTGTTTACACAAGAAATATTGTCAACTAAACTGTGCTTTGAACATAGTTTGGGTTTTGGGTTTAAAGCCAAAGTTTGGTGGTCACTAGCCTTGATCTCAGTGGCCACGTAGGTTACTTGAGTGGCTGGCTGAAAAGGGGTTTTCCTAAGTCGTGAACACAGTGATTGTTGTACATTGCATCAGGTGATCAGCTTACCTTATTTAAATTTGCTCCCCTGTATTTAGTTACTTCCTTATTTCCACCCTCCTGGCTCTCATGTCTTTTGTGTTCTGAGATTTTATATCATCACCAACTCTGTTGGCAGCTTTCTGCATGCCTGAACGGGATGGTGGAGGTATATCGGAGCTCATGTGCAGGACGCGGAAACTCTCACTTCAATAGGACATTTTGAGAGGCCTATCTGTAGTCCAGTATTGGCTTTGGAAGATGGACGTCCCCTTCTCACCTCACCTCACCACCCACTACCTCCTTGTACAGTGTACGTACTTCAACAGGTAGGTACAGTCAGTACATTTAACTCTCTCTGTCCAGTTAAGACCCCACTGCTGTTCCTTATCTGTGTCCATGACAAGGTCACAACCCACTACCTCCTTGTACAGTGTAGGTACTTCAACAGGTAGGTACAGTCAGTACATTTATCTCTCTCTGTCCAGTTAAGGCCCCACTGCTGTTCCTTATCTGTGTCCATGACAAGGTCACCACCCACTACCTCCTTGTACAGTGTAGGTACTTCAACAGGTAGGTACAGTCAGTACATTTAACTCTCTCTGTCCAGTTAAGACCCCACTGCTGTTCCTTATCTGTGTCCATGACAAGGTCACCACCCACTACCTCCTTGTACAGTTTACCTACTTCAACAGGTAGGTACAGTCAGTACATTTAACTCTCTCTGTCCAGCTAAGGCCCCACTGCTGTTCCTTATCTGTGTCCATGACAAGGTCACCACCCACTACCTCCTTGTACAGTGTAGGTACTTTGACAGGTAGATACAGTCAGTACATTTAACTCTCTCTGTCCAGTTAAGGCCCCACTGCTGTTCCTTATCTGTGTCCATGACAAGGTCACCACCCACTACCTCCTTGTACAGTGTAGGTACTTCAACAGGTAGGTACAGTCAGTACATTTAACTCTCTCTGTCCAGTTAAGACCCCACTGCTGTTCCTTATCTGTGTCCATGACAAGGTCACAACCCACTACCTCCTTGTACAGTGTAGGTACTTCAACAGGTAGGTACAGTCAGTACATTTAACTCTCTCTGTCCAGTTAAGACCCCACTGCTGTTCCTTATCTGTGTCCATGACAAGGTCACCGCCACACATTGGCGGTCTTGGCATTCTCACAGAAAGCCCCATTATACAACTTGCCCATCTCCCCGACATGCAGTACTGGCAAACACCATCTCCCCGACATGCAGTACTGGCAAACACCATCTCCCCAACATGCAGTACTGGCAAACACCATCTCCCCAACATGCAGTACTGGCAAACACCATCTCCCCGACATGCAGTACTGGCAAACACCATCTCCCCAACATACAGTACTGGCAAACACCATCTCCCCGACATGCAGTACTGGCAAACACCATCTCCCCAACATGCAGTACTGGCAAACACCATCTCCCCGACATGCAGTACTGGCAAACACCATCTCCCCAACATGCAGTACTGGCAAACACCATCTCCCCAACATGCAGTACTGGCAAACACCATCTCCCCGACATGCAGTACTGGCAAACACCATCTCCCCGACATGCAGTACTGGCAAACACCATCTCCCCGACATGCAGTACTGGCAAACACCATCTCCCCAACATGCAGTACTGGCAAACACCATCTCCCCAACATGCAGTACTGGCAAACACTATCTCCCCGACATGCAGTACTGGCAAACACCATCTCCCCGACATGCAGTACTGGCAAACACCATCTCCCCGACATGCAGTACTGGCAAACACCATCTCCCCGACATGCAGTACTGGCAAACACCATCTCCCCAACATGCAGTACTGGCAAACACCATCTCCCCGACATGCAGTACTGGCAAACACCATCTCCCCAACATGCAGTACTGGCAAACACCATCTCCCCAACATGCAGTACTGGCAAACACCATCTCCCCGACATGCAGCACTGGCAAACAACATCTGCCCAACATGCAGTACTGGCAAACACCATCTCCCCGACATGCAGTACTGGCAAACACTATCTCCCCAACATGCAGTACTGGCAAACACTATCTCCCCAACATGCAGTACTGGCAAACACCATCTCCCCGACATGCAGTACTGGCAAACACCATCTCCCCGACATGCAGTACTGGCAAACACCATCTCCCCGACATGCAGTACTGGCAAACACCATCTCCCCGACATGCAGTACTGGCAAACACCATCTCCCCGACATGCAGTACTAGCAAACACCAACTCCCCAACATGCAGTACTGGCAAACAACATCTGCCCAACATGCAGTACTGGCAAACACCATCTCCCCAACATGCAGTACTGGCAAACAACATCTGCCCAACATGCAGTACTGGCAAACACCATCTCCCCGACATGCAGTACTTGTAAACACCATCTCCCCGACATGCAGTACTGGTAAACACCATCTCCCCAACATGCAGTACTGGCAAACAACATCTGCCCAACATGCAGTACTGGCAAACACCATCTCCCCGACATGCAGTACTGGTAAACACCAACTCCCCGACATGCAGTACTGGTAAACACCATCTCCCCAACATGCAGTACTGGCAAACACCATCTGCCCAACATGCAGTACTGGCAAACACCATCTCCCCGACATGCAGTACTGGCAAACACCATCTCCCCGACATGCAGTACTGGTAAACACCATCTCCCCGACATGCAGTACTGGCAAACACCATCTCCCCAACATGCAGTACTGGTAAACACCATCTCCCCGACATGCAGTACTGGTAAACACCATCTCCCCGACATGCAGTACTGGCAAACACCATCTCCCCAACATGCAGTACTGGCAAACACCATCTCCCCAACATGCAGTACTTGCAAACACCAGAAGCAGCCCTGCAGATTAAAAAAAGACCATTGACTACTTTGGAAACTTCTTTATGAATCTTTAAAGCATGTGATAGTCTTCGACATTTCTGAATTATCTCCCCTCGTGGATCAATTACTTTTCTATTTCTATCCCCTTAATGGCCCTTAATAAGGGTGTAAAAACACTGGCTTTTTATGGTATTGAAAACAACACACTCACATCTATGTGAATTTGATCCCTTGTTGTCCCTAACAACTGAAAACTGTCAATAAAATTAAAAGTTTATGAAGTGGCCTCATTAAATGACAAATACTTGAATTTGGCAAGTTAAGCCACCAAAATCATTTGACTTTGAGCACTTTTATTCCCTGCAAGTATTTCAGAGTCCCGGGTCAAAGGAATAAATAGATCAAAGTGTTATTACCTTTCACTTTTTAGTTTCAGGGAACTCTCATCCTCCTTGGGGGTGTTTTCCTTCCTTGGCCTAAACAGAATACAGCTCACATGTAAGTGTTTGTACTTGCTGGACACCAGCCACTACAGCTCACTTGTAAGTGTTTGTACTTGCTGGACACCAGCCACTACAGCTCACATGTAAGTGTTTGTACTTGCTGGACACCAGCCACTACAGCTCACATGTAAGTGTTTGTACTTGCTGGACAACAGCCACTACAGCTCACATGTAAGTGTTTGAACTTGCTGGACACCAGCCACTACAGCTCACATGTAAGTGTTTGAACTTGCTGGACACCAGCCACTACAGCTCACATGTAAGTGTTTGTACTTGCTGGACAACAGCCACTACAGCTCACATGTAAGTGTTTGAACTTGCTGGACACCAGCCACTACAGCTCACATGTAAGTGTTTGTACTTGCTGGACACCAGCCACTACAGCTCACATGTAAGTGTTTGAACTTGCTGGACACCAGCCACTACAGTTCACATGTAAGTGTTTGTACTTGCTGGACACCAGCCACTACAGCTCACATGTAAGTGTTTGTACTTGCTGGACACCAGCCACTACAGCTCACATGTAAGTGTTTGTACTTGCTGGACACCAGCCACTACAGCTCACATGTAAGTGTTTGTACTTGCTGGACACCAGCCACTACAGCTCACATGTAAGTGTTTGAACTTGCTGGACACCAGCCACTACAGCTCACTTGTAAGTGTTTGAACTTGCTGGACACCAGCCACTACAGCTCACTTGTAAGTGTTTGAACTTGCTGGACACAAGCCACTACAGCTCACATGTAAGTGTTTGTACTTGCTGGACACCAGCCACTACAGCTCATTTGTAAGTGTTTGAACTTGCTGGACACCAGCCACTACAGCTCACTTGTAAGTGTTTGAACTTGCTGGACACAAGCCATTACAGCTCACATGTAAGTGTTTGAACTTGCTGGACACCAGCCACTACAGCTCACATGTAAGTGTTTGTACTTGCTGGACACCAGCCACTACAGCTCACTTGTAAGTGTTTGAACTTGCTGGACACCAGCCACTACAGCTCACTTGTAAGTGTTTGAACTTGCTGGACACAAGCCACTACAGCTCACATGTAAGTGTTTGAACTTGCTGGACACCAGCCACTACAGCTCACATGTAAGTGTTTGAACTTGCTGGACACCAGCCACTACAGCTCACTTGTAAGTGTTTGTACTTGCTGGACACCAGCCACTACAGCTCACATGTAAGTGTTTGAACTTGCTGGACACCAGCCACTACAGCTCACATGTAAGTGTTTGAACTTGCTGGACACCAGCCACTACAGCTCACTTGTAAGTGTTTGTACTTGCTGGACACCAGCCACCCCTACACTGCACACTTTCTTGTGGAGCTCAGAAGTCTACCTGACAGTTTTTTGGCACTTTAAAGTTCCTTTGCTTTTCATTGGGGATTTTTTTGCCTGAATTCCAAGCTTTATGTCATGCTTTAAAAGATGTTTTTAAATTCTTTCGATGTCTCCCCATGTTTCCAGTGCAGGTCCAAGATGCTGATACTATGAATCTTTCTTTGGAATGAAAGCATCAGCATTGGTTCTTGCGCTCCCAAAGATAAAATACAAAAAATGGACCTGTGATTTATTTCTTGGACTCTAAATGATGTAGGGGTACCAGTCCTGGGTTAGTCCTACATAGCCGGTCTCGTAATCCGAAGTAATACGGGTTCAATTCCCCCCATGGGTACAATGTTACAATTATAGCGAACAGGCTTATAACAAACTGACGGATATAACAAACTGTCTGTCATTGGCTGTTTGTTATAATCCTGTTCGCTATATTTGTAAGTTACTGTATGTATGTGTGAACAGGCTTATAACAAACTGACGGATATAACAAACTGTCCGTCATTGGCTGTTTGTTATAATCCTGTTCGCTATATTTGTAAGTTACTGTATGTATGTGTGAACACGCTTATAACAAACTGACGGATATAACAAACTGTCTGTCATTGGCTGTTTGTTATCAACCTGTTCGCTATATTTGTAAGTTACTGTATGTATGTGTGAACAGGCTTATAACAAACTGACGGATATAACAAACTGTCCCAGTCATTGGCTGTTTGTTATCATCCTGTTCGCTATATTTGTAAGTTACTGTATGTATGTGTGAACAGGCTTATAACAAACTGACGGATATAACAAACTGTCCGTCATTGGCTGTTTGTTATCATCCTGTTCGCTATATTTGTAAGTTACTGTATGTATGTGTGAACAGGCTTATAACAAACTGACGGATATAACAAACTGTCCCAGTCATTGGCTGTTTGTTATCATCCTGTTCGCTATATTTGTAAGTTACAGTATGTATGTGTGAACACGCTTATAACAAACTGACGGATATAACAAACTGTCCGTCATTGGCTGTTTGTTATAATCCAGTTCTCTATATTTGTAAGTTACTGTATGTATGTGTGAACACGCTTATAACAAACTGACGGATATAACAAACTGTCCGTCATTGGCTGTTTGTTATAATCCAGTTCTCTATATTTGTAAGTTACTGTATGTATGTGTGAACAGGCTTATAACAAACTGACGGATATAACAAACTGATGGATATAACAAACTGTCCCAGTCATTGGCTGTTTGTTATCATCCTGTTCGCTATATTTGTAAGTTACAGTATGTATGTGTGAACACGCTTATAACAAACTGACGGATATAACAAACTGTCCGTCATTGGCTGTTTGTTATAATCCTGTTCGCTATATTTGTAAGTTACTGTATGTATGTGTGAACAGGCTTATAACAAACTGAGGGATATAACAAACTGTCTGTCATTGGCTGTTTGTTATAATCCTGTTCGCTATATTTGTAAGTTACTGTATGTATGTGTGAACAGGCTTATAACAAACTGACGGATATAACAAACTGTCCGTCATTGGCTGTCTGTTATCATCCTGTTCGCTATATTTGTAAGTTACTGTATGTATGTGTGAACAGGCTTATAACAAACTGACGGATATAACAAACTGTCCGTCATTGGCTGTTTGTTATCAACCTGTTCGCTATATTTGTAAGTTACTGTATGTATGTGTGAACAGGCTTATAACAAACTGACGGATATAACAAACTGTCTGTCATTGGCTGTTTGTTATAATCCTGTTCGCTATATTTGTAAGGTACTGTATGTATGTGTGAACAGGCTTATAACAAACTGACGGATATAACAAACTGTCCGTCATTGGCTGTTTGTTATCATCCTGTTCGCTATATTTGTAAGTTACTGTATGTATGTGTGAACAGGCTTATAACAAACTGACGGATATAACAAACTGTCCCAGTCATTGGCTGTTTGTTATCATCCTGTTCGCTATATTTGTAAGTTACAGTATGTATGTGTGAACACACTTATAACAAACTGACGGATATAACAAACTGTCCGTCATTGGCTGTTTGTTAAAATCCAGTTCTCTATATTTGTAAGTTACTGTATGTATGTGTGAACAGGCTTATAACAAACTGACGGATATTACAAACTGTCCGTCATTGGCTGTTTGTTATAATCCTGTTCGCTATATTTGTAAGTTACTGTATGTATGTGTGAACACGCTTATAACAAACTGACGGATATAACAAACTGTCCGTCATTGGCTGTTTGTTATAATCCAGTTCTCTATATTTGTAAGTTACTGTATGTATGTGTGAACAGGCTTATAACAAACTGACGGATATAACAAACTGATGGATATAACAAACTGTCCCAGTCATTGGCTGTTTGTTATCATCCTGTTCGCTATATTTGTAAGTTACAGTATGTATGTGTGAACACGCTTATAACAAACTGACGGATATAACAAACTGTCCGTCATTGGCTGTTTGTTATAATCCTGTTCGCTATATTTGTAAGTTACTGTATGTATGTGTGAACAGGCTTATAACAAACTGACGGATATAACAAACTGTCCCAGTCATTGGCTGTTTGTTATCATCCTGTTCGCTATATTTGTAAGTTACTGTATGTATGTGTGAACAGGCTTATAACAAACTGACGGATATAACAAACTGTCCGTCATTGGCTGTTTGTTATCATCCTGTTCGCTATATTTGTAAGTTACTGTATGTATGTGTGAACAGGCTTATAACAAACTGACGGATATAACGAACTGTCCGTCATTGGCTGTTTGTTATCATCCTGTTCGCTATATTTGTAAGTTACAGTATGTATGTGTGAACACGCTTATAACAAACTGACGGATATAACAAACTGTCCGTCATTGGCTGTTTGTTATAATCCTGTTCGCTATATTTGTAAGTTACTGTATGTATGTGTGAACAGGCTTACAACAAACTGACGGATATAACAAACTGTCCCAGTCATTGGCTGTTTGTTATCATCCTGTTCGCTATATTTGTAAGTTACAGTATGTATGTGTGAACACGCTTATAACAAACTGACGGATATAACAAACTGTCCGTCATTGGCTGTTTGTTATAATCCAGTTCTCTATATTTGTAAGTTACTGTATGTATGTGTGAACAGGCTTATAACAAACTGAGGGATATAACAAACTGTCCGTCATTGGCTGTTTGTTATAATCCTGTTCGCTATATTTGTAAGTTACTGTATGTATGTGTGAACAGGCTTATAACAAACTGACGGATATAACAAACTGTCCGTCATTGGCTGTTTGTTATAATCCTGTTCGCTATATTTGTAAGTTACTGTATGTATGTGTGAACAGGCTTATAACAAACTGACGGATATAACAAACTGTCCCAGTCATTGGCTGTTTGTTATCATCCTGTTCGCTATATTTGTAAGTTACTGTATGTATGTGTGAACAGGCTTATAACAAACTGACGGATATAACAAACTGTCCGTCATTGGCTGTTTGTTATCATCCTGTTTGCTATATTTGTAAGTTACTGTATGTATGTGTGAACAGGCTTATAACAAACTGATGGATATAACAAACTGTCCGTCATTGGCTGTTTGTTATAATCCTGTTCGCTATATTTGTAAGTTACTGTATGTATGTGTGAACAGGCTTATAACAAACTGAGGGATATAACAAACTGTCTGTCATTGGCTGTTTGTTATAATCCTGTTCGCTATATTTGTAAGTTACTGTATGTATGTGTGAACACGCTTATAACAAACTGACGGATATAACACACTGTCCGTCATTGGCTGTTTGTTATAATCCTGTTCGCTATATTTGTAAGTTACAGTATGTATGTGTGAACACGCTTATAACAAACTGACGGATATAACAAACTGTCCGTCATTGGCTGTTTGTTATAATCCTGTTCGCTATATTTGTAAGGTACTGTATGTATGTGTGAACAGGCTTATAACAAACTGACGGATATAACAAACTGTCCGTCATTGGCTGTTTGTTATAATCCTGTTCTCTATATTTGTAAGTTACTGTATGTATGTGTGAACAGGCTTATAACAAACTGAGGGATATAACAAACTGTCCCAGTCATTGGCTGTTTGTTATCATCCTGTTCGCTATATTTGTAAGTTACTGTATGTATGTGTGAACAGGCTTATAACAAACTGACGGATATAACAAACTGTCCGTCATTGGCTGTTTGTTATCATCCTGTTCGCTATATTTGTAAGTTACTGTATGTATGTGTGAACAGGCTTATAACAAACTGACGGATATAACAAACTGTCCGTCATTGGCTGTTTGTTATCATCCTGTTCTCTATATTTGTAAGTTACTGTATGTATGTGTGAACAGGCTTATAACAAACTGAGGGATATAACAAACTGTCCGTCATTGGCTGTTTGTTATAATCCTGTTCGCTATATTTGTAAGTTACAGTATGTATGTGTGAACAGGCTTATAGCGAAATAATGGATATTGGGAACTCACTTTGTGGTTCTGTGTGTACTCTGTCCACGACGATTCTTACGATTATAATGAACTGTTAATCTCTGAGCTGCTCACGTGAATTATATGCAAGTGATTAACTGGATTAAGTACTGACGACTTGTCCTCATTTTGGTCCCTCAAAAAACAATAGTAAAAATAGCGAAATAATGGATATTGGGAACTCACTTTGTGGTTCTGTGTGTACTCTGTCCACGACAATTCTTACGTTTATAATGAACTGTTAATCTCTGAGCTGCTCACGTGAATTACATGCAAGTGATTAACTGGATTAAGTACTGACACCTTGTCCTCATTAGTCTCCCTCAAAAAACAATAGTAAAAACGTGAGTAGGCTATTGTCTTTGAAGTCTATAAATTGCGACGACTGAGGAAATTATTCAAAATGCTTATAACAACTACGGTTGTAACAAATAAAAATTAGTGGTCCCTTTGAGTTTGATATAACCGTAGTTGACATACATGAATTTTTATTTTTTATGTTTCCATGGCAACAAGTTGGACTTAGGTTCTATAGGGTATAGTTCGTTTCCGGAGCATAACTCAAAACCCATTCAATACTTTCTAACAAAACTTTGCATGTTTACCAGACACATACTGAATTGGTGCTTTTTGATATTTAGGAATTTTAGAAATTTTTATTTTTGGCATTTCCATGGCAACAAGTTGGACTTCGGTTCTATAAGGGTGGTGTTCATTTCTCAAAAACCGTCGAATACTTTCTTACAAAACTTTGCATGTCTACCAGGCACATACTAGTGACTTTTGATAGTTAGCACTTTTAGAAATTTTGATTGTTTATGTTTCCATGACAAGTTGGATTTAAGTTTTTATAAAGGGTGGGTTCACTTATGGAGTATAACAAAATAAACTGTTTAATATTTCCTTGCCAGACATTGCATGTCTTTATATAAAGCACATACTGGACTGGTGCCATTTGATATTAAGGAGTTTCAGAAATGTTTATTTTAGAATTTTCATTGCAGCTATTTTGACATGTGCTAAGAGAAATGTTGGGTCAGTTAGCTGGTTTTGGACCATAAGGTGTTAAAATGGGCAGGGGATATAGATGACTTCGTCGACTATATGCTTGCTGTCATGACAATGATTTCCTTTGATTGCTGTCCTTTCCCATCAACCGTTTTAGGCTGCTGAAAATGTTACTGCATTCAGTCTGTGCCAAACACTGGTATCATGTTTGTCAGTTAGTATCATGTTTGTCATTACTTAATTTATAATGTGCACTTATAATGCGCTAGCCTCCATGTAGCAGTTCATGCTCAAAGCGCTACACCATTATTACCCCAGTCAATGGATCAGTGAGCTCTCGATTTTCATTCTCAGCTCCCTGGACAGTATACAACCCTAAGTTGCCAGTAAGGTGTTAGAAGGTTAACAACCATCTCATCCTACCGGGTACCCACTCACTGCTGGGTAAACAGAGGCACATTTAGAACAAAGTCACTTGCCTAAGGAGACACCACATGTGATACATGTGCTTCAGTGTGGGGCAGGACCGAGGCCCTAGAAACTCTCAGGAGTCAAGCTGCTTAACGTGGTCACCCATACAACTACTCTTCGAGACCGACGTTGCTTAACTTCACCTGATTTGCGACCTGTGAGCTGTGCACAGGACCACGTTTGGCAGTTTGGGTTCTATACTCCCCAGGGAGCTGAGAAGTATTCTTGAGTGCACAGTAGTCCAGTGACCGGGGTAATAATAGCGCTTTGAGCATGCCCCTGAGTGGTGTGGAAATATGTGCAACCTAAATAGCCTGTTGTTGTTGTTGTTGTTGTTGTTGTTGTTGTACATTTGAGTGTAATTGTATGGACGTTTTTTAGATCAAACACTTGAGCACTAACTTGGCTCAAGAATTATGTTTTGTACCTTTTAGTGTTAACGTATGGACTTTTATTAGCTGAGCCTTCTAGACTGAACAGCACTTTGCTAGACTCTGGCTTGGGGCCAGTGGCTAAAATCGCAGACTGCATTTAACTTTCATCTTCCTCTTAATCCACCTTCATGGTAACCAATAGCTCCAGGGCACTCTCTTTGGAACAAAGTTTTAGAATTTAAAATTCTTTACTTGTGTATTCTGTTGGAATCGATGGTCGAACACACGCCACATGACACAAACCTGTAAGTGAGCGGGGAAGGTGGCATTCCGTGGTCACAACAAAGTCCTTGGTTTGATTCCTCGTGTTAGGTCGCCTTGTTATTCCCCCGGCATATAATGGGGGGGAATATAGTCGATATTTTTCAACAAAACTTGGCAGATATATCAAACAGATCCTGAAGTGGTGACTTTTAATGTTTACATATTTCTGCCATTTTTTTATTTTTCTCGATTTCCATGGAAACAGTTTGGACTTAGTCTCTTAAGGTATGATGGATTTTGTTTCCGGAGCACAACTCAAAAACTGTCTAATTTTTTTCAACAAAACGTGCCAGATATATCAAACAGATCCTGAAGTGGTGCCTTTTCCTGTTTGCAGATATTTGGCATTTTTATTTTTCTTGATTTCCATGGAAACAATTTATACTTAGTCTAAAAAAATGTGGGGGTCAGTGTCGTTTCCACAGCACAACTTGAAAACTGTGAAAGATATCCATCCAAACCTATTAACCATATGTATTAACCATTGGCTGAAGTGGTGCCTTTTGCTATTTAGAAATTTTTCAAAATTTGATTTTTCCCTATTTCCCATGGAAACAAGTTAAACTTAGCTAAAAAGGAGGTTGGTATATTAATCAAGGGCTGAAGTGGTGCCTTTTGCTATTTAATAGGAAATTAAAAAATATTAATTATTCCTGTTTCCATGGCAACAAGTTTTACTTTGACTTTGTTCATACTGGTGTGTTCGTCCGGACCATATCTCTAAAACTAATTGGTAGTCTTCCTTGAAACTGTGCACACACAGAGACCAGGTTGCCTAATAGTGCCGTTTGCTACTTAGGGGTGTTTAGATATTTTTCCTGTTTCCATGGCAACAACTTTGACTCTGTTCATAGTGGTGTGTACCTGACATAGAAATTCAAAGTTCCAATTCCCAATTCCATGGTATTGTTTTGATAGCTCAAAAACTACTCTTGTATATGGACAGACAGATTAGATATAAATTCTCATTCACCCAGAACAGTTTTACATGCCCTTTGCAGTGTGTAAATTAAGCATGAAAGTCAAGGGGTCTTTGTCATAACCTTAATGTTCAGATTACATTTTTCCACACTGATATTTGTGCATTTTATGAGAATGATTATGCACAGTAAGTGTTGATATGTGTTAATATGTTACATATTCTATAAACTTGTGAAAACTGTACTGGAGGCCTCCTGACTCTGAAATTAACTTTTGTTATTCAGTATGTGTTGAAGAAGAGCAATAAGTTTGCCCAGGTCTGAGTTTCAAATTTTCATTTCAGGTCTTGCCTGATGACCAGTTCATGTCAACCTGATGACACAGCTCCATGAGAGTCATGGTGTTAGGGAACCAGGGATAGGGTACAATGCCCCTTTTAGAGTCTTGGGTTTAGTGAACCAGGAATAGGGTACAATGTCCCTTTTAGAGTCTTGGCGTTAGGGAACCATGGATAGGGTACAATGCCCCTTTTAGAGTCTTGGGGTTAGGGAACCAGGGATAGGGTACAATGCCCCTTTTAGAACTCTTGGGGTTAGGGAACCATGGATAGGGTACAATGCCCCTTTTAGAGTCTTGGGGTTAGGGAACCAGGGATAGGGTACAATGCCCCTTTTAGAACTCTTGGGGTTAGGGAACCATGGATAGGGTACAATGCCCCTTTTAGAGTCTTGGGGTTAGGGAACCAGGGATAGGGTACAATGCCCCTTTTAGAGTCTTGGGGTTAGGGAACCAGCAATAGGGTACAATGCCCCTTTTAGAGTCTTGGGGTTAGGGAACCAGGGATAGGGTACAATGCCCCTTTTAGAGTCTTGGGTTTAGTGAACCAGGAATAGGGTACAATGTCCCTTTTAGAGTCTTGGGGTTAGGGAACCATGGATAGGGTACAATGCCCCTTTTAGAGTCTTGGGGTTAGGGAACCAGGGATAGGGTACAATGCCCCTTTTAGAACTCTTGGGGTTAGGGAACCATGGATAGGGTACAATGCCCCTTTTAGAGTCTTGGGGTTAGGGAACCAGGGATAGGGTACAATGCCCCTTTTAGAACTCTTGGGGTTAGGGAACCATGGATAGGGTACAATGCCCCTTTTAGAGTCTTGGGGTTAGGGAACCAGGGATAGGGTACAATGCCCCTTTTAGAGTCTTGGGGTTAGGGAACCAGCAATAGGGTACAATGCCCCTTTTAGAGTCTTGGGGTTAGGGAACCAGGGATAGGGTACAATGCCCCTTTTAGAACTCTTGGGGTTAGGGAACCATGGATAGGGTACAATGCCCCTTTTAGAGTCTTGGGGTTAGGGAACCATGGATAGGGTACAATGCCGCTTTTAGAGTCTTGGGGTTAGGGAACCAGCAATAGGGTACAATGCCCCTTTTAGAACTCTTGGGGTTAGGGAACCATGGATAGGGTACAATGCCCCTTTTAGAGTCTTGGGGTTAGGGAACCATGGATAGGGTACAATGCCCCTTTTAGAACTCTTGGGGTTAGGGAACCATGGATAGGGTACAATGCCCCTTTTAGAGTCTTGGGGTTAGGGAACCAGGGATAGGGTACAATGTCCCTTTTAGAGTCTTGGGGTTAGGGAACCAGGGATAGGGTACAATGCCCCTTTTAGAGTCTTGGGGTTGGGGAACCAGGGATAGGGTACAATGCCCCTTTTAGAGTCTTGGGGTTAGGGAACCAGCAATAGGGTACAATGCCCCTTTTAGAGTCTTGAGGTTAGGGAACCATGGATAGGGTAGAATGCCCCTTTTAGAGTCTTGGGGTTAGGGAACCATGGATAGGGTAGAATGCCCCTTTTAGAGTCTTGGGGTTAGGGAACCAGGGATAGGGTAGAATGCCCCTTTTAGAGTCTTGGGGTTAGGGAACCAGGGATAGGATAGAATGCCCCTTTTAGAGTCTTGGGGTTAGGGAACCAGGGATAGGGTAGAATGCCCCTTTTAGAGTCTTGGGGTTAGGGAACCAGGGATAGGGTACGATCCCTTTTAGAGTCTTGGGGTTAGGGAACCAGGGATAGGGTACAATGCCCCTTTTAGAGTCTTGGGGTTAGGGAACCATGGATAGGGTACAATGCCCCTTTTAGAGTCTTGGGGTTAGGGAACCAGGGATAGGGTACTATGCCCCTTTTAGAGTGAATCCTGTTTGTTGTGTTAAGCATATCCCGTTGTAATTGTCTACCTGCACCAATCTGTCCACATCTGTCAACAACCCTGATTATCTGTAAAGATAAAGGTAAATAAAGAATTGAATTGTTGTTTATCCTAGTTATGGAAGCCTGCACACCGGGTACAGTGTTGTTGTGAGAATCTTTTAATCCCTTGTATACAATGTATGTTGGGGGAGGGGTGGGGTTGTCCATTCGTGAGTGAGTGTCAATCAAAGATATATTTGTGTTTACATGATGCATTGAGTCAGACTAAGTTAGTTTACACAATTTCTTCTGAATCACAGATATACACATATAGACATTGACAAATAGATGTAGACATTGACATATAGACAAAGACATACAGACATAGGTATAGACAAAGACATATAGACAAAGACATATAGACATAGGTATAGACAAAGACATAAAGACATAGGTATAGACAAAGACATATAGGCATAGACATTGACATAGACATATAGACATGGACATATAGGCATAGACATATAGACATAGGTATAGACAAAGACATATAGACAAAGACATATAGACATGGACATATAGGCATAGACATATAGACATAGGTATAGACAAAGACATATAGACATAGACATATAGGCATAGACATTGACATAGACATATAGACATGGACATATAGGCATAGACATATAGACATAGGTATAGACAAAGACATATAGACAAAGACATATAGGCATAGACATATAGACATAGGTATAGACAAAGACATATAGACATGGACATATAGACAAAGACATATAGACATAGGTATAGACATAAACATATTGACATAAAGACATATAGACATAGACTCCGACACACCTAATTTGCAATGAATTACCGAAATAACTCATTGATCAGTCTCGTTAATCCGACACAGTGATCAGCGTACTCCGTGGTTATCTGCCCACGAGTACAAAGCCAGTGTTTTGATGCGAGACGAGTCGGCTGGTAAACTTTACTTAACAATAAACAATTAATGCTTTAAATAAAGAAAACAGGATAAATCACATGCTTAGATTACCTCAATCTTATTAAAATCAGATACAAGTTCTCGCTATCGCCGAGGACATCCCATTACAGGTCACATCAGAAGAACCTTTCGCAAACTATGACCGACGAACGTTGGTACTACATAATTTTGTTTATCCAACATACTCGTTAATCCGACATAACCATATGCAACAAGCCATGTCGGATTAACAGGACTTGACTGTACAAACATAGACATATAGACATAGACATGGACATATAGACATAGGCATATAGACATAGACATATAGACATTGACATATAGTGAGTGAGTAAGTGAGTATGGTTTTACGCCGCTTTTAGCAATATTCCAGCAATATCACGGCGGGGGACACCAGAAATGGGCTTCACACATTGTACCCATGTCGGGAATCGAACCCGGGTCTTCGGCGTGACGAGCGAACGCTTTAACCACTAGGCTACCCGACCGCCCCCATTGACATATAGACATTGACATATAGACATTGATATAGACACACAGACACATTGACCTATACATAGGCACATTGACTTATACATTGGCACACTGACCTATAGACATTGATATATAGAGACATAGACATTAACGTATAGACATTCACACATAGATATATACATTGACATATAGACATAGATACTCTGACATATAGCCAGATACATACAGACATAGACATATACATACAGATATAGACATATACATATAGACATGGTCTTATAGAGACATAGACATAGACATGTAGACATGGGCATAAACAGATATGTAGACATTGACATATAGACATATAGACATTGACATAGACATTGACATAGACATGTAGATATAGACATATACATATAGACATGGTCTTATAGAGACATAGACATAGACATGTAGACATTGACATAGACATATAGACATTGACATAGACATATAGACATTGACATAGACATATAGACATTGACATAGACATATTGACATAGACATATAGACATAGACATGTAGACATTGACATAGACATATAGACATTGACATAGACATATAGACATATACATACAGATATAGACATATACATATAGACATGGTCTTATAGAGACATAGACATAGACATGTAGACATGGGCATAAACAGATATGTAGACATTGACATATAGACATTGACATAGACATATAGACATTGACATAGACATATAGACATTGACATATAGACATTGACATAGACATATAGACATTGACATAGACATATAGACACAGATATATAGACTGACATAGACATTGACATAAACATAGATCTATAGATATTGACATATAGACATTGACATAGACTGACATAGACATTGACATATAGACATTGACATAGACTGACATAGATATTGACATATAGACATTGACATAGACTGACATAGACATTGACATATAGACATTGACAGACATACATATATAGACATTGACAGAGACATATAGACTGGCATAGACATTGACATATAGACATTGACAGACATACATATATAGACATTGACAGAGACATATAGACATTGACATATAGACATTGACATATAGACATGGACATTTACATATAGACATGGACATTTACATATAGACATGGACATAGACATTGACATAGACATGTAGACATTGACATAGACATAGAGATATAGACATTGAGATATAGACATTGACATAGACATAAAGACATTGAGAGAGACATATAGACTGACATAGACATTGACAGAGACATATAGACTGACATACATTGACATATAGACATTGACATAGACATAGATATATAGACTGACATAGACATTGACATAGACATATAGATATTGACATAGACATATAGATATAGGCATATAGACATTGACATAAACATAGACATGTAGACATATAGACATATAGACATATAGACATAGACATTGGTTTTGGTTTGGTTCGTTTGCTGTTAAACACCACACTCAGCAATATTCCATCTATACGACTGCAGTCTGTAAATAATCGAGTCTGGACCAGACAATCCAGTGATTGATATCATGAGCATCAATCCACGCAATTGGAATTGATGACATTCATCAACCAAGACATAGACATTGACATATAGACAGACATATAGACATAGACATAAAGACATATAGACATTGACATATAGACATAGACATAAAGACATAGACGTAAAGACATAGGCATAAAGACATAGACATGTAGGCATAGACATAGACATAGAGACATAGACATAAAGACATAGGCATAAAGACATAGACATAAAGACATAGACATGTAGGCATAGACATAGACATAGAGACATAGACATATAGACATAGATATAGACATAGGCATAGAGATATAGACATAGGCATATAGACAGACATATAGACATAGACATAGACATAGGCATATAGACACAGACATAGACGTATAGACATAGACATAAAGACATAGACGTAAAGACATAGACATGTAGGCATAGACATAGACATAGAGACATAGACATATCGATAAAGATTTATTTCCGTAATGTTTGTCAATAGGCCCACAATATATTTCAATAGTTTTGGGTTTTTTTCGGATACGATCCAACATATTAACCAACTGATTTATAGAAATGATATATTTTGTGCCCTTAAAGTGCAACCCTGATGGTGCCAATATTATATCTAAAGTAATCTGTTTATTCATTGCCTGTTCTAACACAAGAGGATAGATTAGTGAACATTGGCACAACAATATGTAGAACATTTCCCATGATACTCATATTTATTAAACTTAAAGAACTTTATTATTGACAAGATCACATGCTTTTGTGAAATCAATAAATATACAATAAAATCTTCCGCCTTTTTAGATAAATATTTTAGGATCACAGCCTGCAAGCAGAAAAATATGGTCAACAGTTGAATAATTCTTTCCTAAAACTGGCTTGCATTTCAGATAACATGCTATATCTATCACCCCACAACTTCAGTCTTTTCTTGAATACAATACAGAGAATTTTACAAATTGAGTCAATTAGGGATATTCCTCTATAATTATAAGGTTCTTGGATATTTCCTGCCTTGTGCAGTGGACGAATAATACTGTTTAGCCACTGTGGAGGAAATGTATTATTTCAATGTTTTTAAACAAGAATATATTTCTTCCTCTGTAAATGGTATGTTTACGTTCTTAAAATGTTCTGTCGGATGAAAACAAACTAATGTCAGTCATAGTTGAATAATCAAATACAGTGTCACTGACATACATGGTTACACCACTGTTCAACTGATATATTCATGGTGATTGTACGACTGCTTCTCCCTCTTTTAAGGATTTAAAAAAAAAACACCTGGGATCCTTTCTCGAATTTATTAACAGTTTTTTTCTGCTAAAAATAAACTTCCTTTTTCCCCCGCTGAACAACAGCTTCTTAAAATAATTTTGTAGCCTCCTGTAAGTATCAAAGCTAGTACCGGTAGCTCTATGATCCCTCAGGGCTGCATATTTCTACTGTTTTAGTCTAGAGCACAGTCTCACCAGGGGGGTTGCATAAGGCAGTTTGATTTATCTGTGATTGGCCGAGATTGTGGTTTTTCTTCATGTCACTAGCTGCAGACTGCAAAATACAAGTTATAATATTGATACACTGCAACACATTTTCTTCAACAGTTGCTAATATTTGGTCATGTGTCACAAGAGATAGTCCAACCAAAATATCACAAACACAATATGTAGACCATTATTTGTTTTACTTTATATATTTACTTAGTTTTTTTGTGTGTTTTTTTTGTGTTTTTTTTTGGGGGGGGGGTCATTTATGAAAAATAGGGGAGGGGTATGTCTACTCCAGCATCAACCACACCACACCTCACCACACCACACCTCACCACACCACACCACACCACATCGGCACACCACACCACACCACACCACACCACATCGGCACACCACACCACACCACACCACACCACACCACATCGGCAGACCACACCACACCACACCAAAACCACATCGGCACACCACACCACACCACACCACACCACACCAAAACCACATCGGCACACCACACCACACCACATCGGCACACCACACCACACCACACCACATCGGCACACCACACCACACCACACCACACCACACCACACCACATCGGCTGCCCTGCTGAAAGTTGTCATGTAGACAACTATCAGTGGAAAGATTCACTGACTTGATTGATGCATGTCATTGTACCTCAATATTGCATGGATCGATATGCTCATCATATCAGTCACTGGATGGTCTGGTCCAGACCCGTATATTTACAGTGTCCTGTCGCTGAATATTAGAGTGTAGCGTCATGTTGAGTGCAGCGTTCAACAACACCATCAAGCCACCTCCCCACGCCACCACCCCCACCCACCCCCAGCGTTCAACAACACCATCAAGCCACCTCCCCACGCCACCACCCCCACCCACCCCCAGCGTTCAACAACACCAACAAGCCACCTCCCCACGCCACCACCCCCACCCACCCCCAGCGTTCAACAACACCAACAAGCCACCTCCCCACGCCACCACCCCCACCCACCCCCAGCGTTCAACAACACCATCAAGCCACCTCCCCACGCCACCACCCCCACCCACCCCCAGCGTTCAACAACACCATCAAGCCACCTCCCCACGCCACCACCCCCACCCACCCTCAGCGTTCAACAACACCATCAAGCCACCTCCCCACGCCACCACCCCCACCCACCCTCAGCGTTCAACAACACCATCAAGCCACCTCCCCACGCCACCACCCCCACCCACCCCCAGCGTTCAACAACACCATCAAGCCACCACCCCCACCCACAGTATCCCCACTGACGTAATGTTCATGTCTGCTTTTTTCACAATATCTGGTATAAACACATGCAGGAATCGGTAGCTGTACATGGTTGTACATAGAAATACTTCCCCCATGAACGCCATTTCCTCCTTATTCAGGTCACAGCAAATGTTGACGCTGGTGAATCAGTAAGCACGGGTGGTGTCCCACCTGATATGAAAACCTAGGTAATAAAAACAATGTTCATTACATAAAAATTCAGATTACATTATCTGCACATTGCTTGTACTTGAAATAAAAGACAAGGCAATGATAATGTACTTTGTACCCCATGCCAATTATCTAAATTGGAAGCGAAGCGAAAACGGTGCCGACTACCCCCATCCTATGTTTGCACTTCTGTCACTGTCGTCTCGCCTCTGGGTCCAGCTTCAGACCAGTATGGCGGTGGTCACGTGACGTTATAGGTAATTTATCAACGTAATATAAGTCTTTTTCTTGCTGTAACTCCTTTTAAAAAGCAATCCCTGGCCTTATTAATACATATCAATTAGGAGTGTAATTATGACATTTCTACAATTCCAAATTTGGCCCCATACACTGACGCATTGGGCAGTAAACGTCATCTTAAGTTGACCCGTTTTCTGGCCAAATTCAACAGAAATTTGACCGCATAAAGCGTCATTGTCAGGTGTCTCAGGACCAAGGTCACAGAGTTCAAGTACAGAGCGCGTGACGTCATCATCGCCAGTTCTGACGTCACAGGTTTCAAGTCGGCTGTAGGTCGATAGTCCAGTGTCGAGAAGACATTAGTGTAAGCTTGGTTCCGTCTCTAAACGTCCCACATATCGCGCTGGGAAAGAGGAAAACAAGTTCAAGCAGACTGGTTTTGATTAAAATATTTTGTGCGTTCTTCTATAGACGTATCGAAGTTCAGTGCCTTTGGGTGTCAAGACGAAATCGTTATTTAATTTTGGTTCGCATTATAGACCAGCTACATTTGGAATGATATTTACCTTGTATAGGAAGGTGTTCATTCTTTTTTTAAATTCATTCATACAGATACATATAGATCTACATCTAGAATCTTCATATTATTTACATATTTACTCACTCTTGATTTTTCACAGACACGCCCCCATTTTATAAAGAATGCGTTAATTGGGAATGATTCATCAGTAAACCTTTCCAAAAGTTTCATTTTTCGCTCTGTAAATAAGTGAATCCTTAAAATCCTGAAAATTAGCTACTGTCTTAATTCCAAAACCTTATTTGGATTCAATCTAAATGTATATACTAGAACTTCATGTACAGTGACTATGCTGAATCGGTGCCACTTATGCATGGGCATGCTGACGTATACGTCCCCTGCCATGTATGTTTCGGCCACTCCCACTCTGAGAAACGCTAGCTCTTACGGGTCTGTGGTCCATCACAAAATTACCCCCGGCGTTCTACTATTCCATATTCTTTTGTATATTACCATACATATTCATATTAAATCTGGCATGTCCAATTCGTTTCGCGAACCTATCAACATGTTTAGGTATGACTAGCAAAATTACATATAGCTCTACCTATGTGTTTGTTGTGCAGTTGGTAGCGTATCACCGTTTGAAAACAGATATCTTGAGTTCGAATCCTTACTTATGATAATCATTTTAATTATATTTTGAAGATAGCTGAATGAATCGTTTACCTTGGATTTAAATGTTAGAGCACGAAGAAAACCGACGCATTTGTTTGCTACACCTCGTTCTGAGGATAAGCGTTTTAGCCACTGTATCAAACTTGGTTCCTGTGAACGGCTGTTTTCAAATATTTGTCTGCTGCTTCAGTAAGTTCTATCATTCATTGACCTGTCCAGCGGGAAACGGCTATTTTTCAGATATTTCTCAGCCGCGTCAATCAGTCAGCCAATCGGTGGGCCAGTGAGACGATGAATAATCGTGTCAGTGGAACAATAGCATCGTCCCAACGGTAACCCAAACCAACCCAATCGAGCCATAATTTGTATATTCTCCTACATACTCATATTAAATCTGGCATGCCGAATTCCTTCTGCGAAGCTCTCAAGGTGTTTAGGTATGACTAGGAAAATTACATCGCTTATGGCGCAGTCGGTAGTGAGTGAACGTCTCACCTGAGTTCGAATCCTATCTGGTAAGAATCGTTTTTATTGGTGAATCTTGAAATGTGGCGTTCAATTTGAGAAGACATTATTAGAGCGCATGGAAACAGAAGAAATGTAATTTTTTTGCTACACCTCATACTTGCAAACAAGCCAGTTTCAAACTTGGTTTCTTGGACCCGTTGTTTTAGAATATTTCTCTGCCGCTTCAGTCAGTTCTATCATGTTGAACGCCACATTCAGCCCCTCTTTCCACAAGCACAGACTGCTACGTTCAGAAACGGCTTTTTTCTGTTTGCCAGCCTCTTCAGTCAGTCAGTGAGACAATGTTTGTTTGTTTGTTTGTTGGTTTGTTTAACGCCACACTCCGCAATATTCCAGCTATATGACGGCGGTCTGTTAAAATTAACAACCGAGTCTGGACCAGACAATCCTGTGATTGACATCATGAGCATCGATCCAGGCAATTGGGATACAAAGACATGCATCAACCAAGTCAGCGAGCCTGACCACCCGATCCCGTTAGTCGCCTACGTTAAACAAACAAACATTGTTTCACTGACTGACTTAAGGGGCTGGCAAACGGAAAAAAGCTTTCTATAACTATTTTTGATTAAACTATTGTAAATAACTCATGTTTTCGTTGTCGAGTTTAATTGTAAGGATTGAGTGTATTATTTTCGTTTCATTGAGATATGAATTCAAAAACCGATGTGCAAACTGTATGAATCCATCAAGCGAATTCTAACAAGTGTTTGCACATTGTTCTTCGATTCATACCTCAATAAAACGAAAACAATACACAGTCTTTCCTTAATTATATAGTGGATTATATCATGTGGTTAGGTGTGCCGAAAATATGTTGACACTTACCTTTGGGAAGTGTTCAAAATCGAAGCCAGTGACCCAATGTGGGCACAAATAGGCATAATTATAAGCACAAATTAATTTAAATATGTTTAAGAAATAAAGCATTAAACTTATTTGTTATTGACGTCTGCAAGGCCTCCACGAACACGTGTGTAAACATTTGTTCCCCGGCAGTTTGTGAAACTTAACAATTTCTTCTTACATTCAAACCTTTGTATAAAAAAGATAACACTTGTATCCAGGCTGTGAATGTAGACCGCCCCAGCATTTTATTGAAGAATATGGTACTGGTGTTAGGGTCACGCGTTTTCCAGTGTATTTTAATCCTGAGGTGATGAAAATTACAAATATTCATTCCACTTATTGTCAATTATTAGTTAAATTTGGTAAATTAACACTTGTATCCAGGCTGTGAATGTGGACCGCCCCAGCATTTTATTGAAGAATGATACTGGTGTTAGGGTCACGCATTTTCCAGTGTATTGAAATCCTGAGGTGATGAAAATTACAAATATTCATTCCATTTATTGTCAATTATTAGTTAAATTTGGTAAACAAAATATACTCTGGAAAATATAATTGTCCTTCAGGGATATAACTTAGAACTGGCAGATCAGTGTCGTTTATCTGAAGTTCTATTCACACACGGCTCATTGCTTGTGCTTGAAATAAAAGACCGGCAATGACTATATATGTACTTTGTTCCCCATGCCAATCATTTAAGTTGGAAGAGAAGCGAAAACGGTGCCGACTACCCTCATCCTATGTTTGTACTTCCGTCACGGTCGCCTCGCCTCTGGGTCTGGCTTCAGAACAGTATGGCGGTGGTCACGTGACGTTAGATAATTTATCAACGTATTATAAGTTTTTTCCTTTTTGTATCTCCTTTAAATAAGCAATTCGTGGTTGTATTAATACATATGAATTAGCAGTGAAATTATGACATTTCTACAATTCCAAATCTGGCCCCATACACTGACGCGTTGAGAAGTAAACGTCATCTTTAAGTTGACCCGTTTTCTGGCCAAATTCAACAGAAATTTGACTGCATAAAGCGTCTTTGTCAGCTGTCTCAGGACCGAGGTCACAGAGTTTAAGTACAGAGAGTGTGACGTCATCATCGCCAGTTCTGACGTCACAGGTTTCAAAGTCGGCTGTAGGAGTCCAACCAGTGTCGAGAAGACTTTAGTGTAAGCTTGGTTCCGTCTCTAAACGTCTCAAATATCTCGCTGGGAGATGAAAAGAAGTTCAAGCAGACTGGTTTTGATTAAAATATTCTGTGCGCTCTTCTACAGACGTATCCAAGTTATTAAATTTTGGTTCGCATTATAGACCAGCTACATTTGGAATGATATGTAGACCTTTACCATATATAGGAAGTTGTGTGCATTGTTATTTTTTTAAAATTCATTCATATTATTTTTATATATATACTCACTCTATTGAATCTCTTGATTTTTCACAGACACGCCCCCTTCTTTTTAAGAATGCATTATACTTGCAGCTCCTGTGCATAGCTTTTATTAAAAAAAATTGGAATGATGCATCAGTAAACCTTTCCAAAAGTTTAATGTGTCGCTCTGTAAATAAATGAATCCTTAAAATCCTGAACAATTAACTACCGAATATAGATGCAATCTAAATGTATAAACTAGAACTATATATTTAGTACTATCTATTTACGTGTCGATCGTGAATATTTCTGAATCGGTGCCACTGATGCATGGGCATGCTTACGATCCCTCCGATGTATGTTTCGGCCACCCCAACTCTTAGAAACGCTGCCATGGGTCTGTGTTCAATCACACAATCACCCCCAGCTTTCTACTGTATATTACCGTATTCGCCCCGTATTCATATTAAATTCGGAATGGTTAATTCCTTTCGGGAACCTCTCAAAATGTGTAGGTATGACAAGGAAAATTACATCGTTAATTACATGCGGATTCGTGGCGTAGACGGTCGAGAGTGAACGTTTTGAAAACAGATCTTGATTTCGAATCTTTGCTTGAAACAATCTTTTTAATCATAATTTGAAGATAGTATGCATGTATAGCTTAATGAGCCTTTCACTGTGGCGTTAAATTTTATACCACATCATTAGAGTACGTGGAAAACATAAGCATATGTTTGTTTCACTTCGGATAGGCCTCAAGCCGCGGTATCAAACTTGGTTTCTGTGAACGGCTGATATATATTTCCGATATTTGCCAGCCGCCTCAGCCGGCCGGTCGGTAAGTCAGTCATGCAGTGAGACAATGAAAACTGTCAATGGAACAATAGTTTCGTCCCAACGATAACCCAAACCAACCCAGACGTGCAATCGGAGCCAAAATTTGTATATTACCATACATATTCATATCAAATCTAGCATGTCCAATTCTTGTCGCGAACCTCTCAACATCTTATGGCTAAACTACGAAAATTACGTCGTTGATTGTTTGTGTGTTCGTGGTGCAGTCGGCTGTGCTTTGAAAACAGATCGTGAGTTCGAATCCCTGCTTGAAACAAGATTTTAAATTATCCTTTCTAGATATATACACGCATAGCTGAATGAACCTATTACAGGGGCGTTAATATTTTTAAAAGACGCTATTAGAGCACGTGGAAAACAGAAGCATTGTAAATTATATGTTTGCTGCGCCTCATACATCAGATCAGGCGTGAAGGGCTGTTTTCAAATATTTTTCTGCCGCTTCAGTCAGTTCTATCATATTGAACACCACATTATGCCCCTCTAACCACAAGCACAGACTGCTGGGTACAGAAACGGCCATTTTTCAGTTTGCCAGCCCCTTCAATAAGTCAGTAAGACGGATTGAGTTTGTTTGTTTAACGCCACACTCAGCAGTATTCCAGCTATATGACGGCGGTCTGTAAATAATCGAGTCTGAACCAGTTAATCCAGTGATTGATATCATGAGCATGCATAAACCAAGTCAGCGAGTCTGACCACCCGATCCTGTTAGTGGCCTCCTACGACAAGCATATTAGCCTTTACGGCAAACATCGGTTGCTGAAGACGTATTCTACACCGGATCTTCACGACAATGAATACACCTGTCATGGAGCAATAGCTTCGGCCCAGCGGCAACCCAACCGTACCCAACGCAAAGCAAAGCAAGAAAGCAAACAAGCAAGCAAGCAAGCAAACAAGTAGCCAAGCAAGCAAGCAAGCAAACAAACATGCAAATCAACCATATGCTAGCTACATGTACATAATGCGTGCAGTCAAGTATGACAAACCAGTGGTCGAAAGCATGAGCAAACATCTATAGCACCAGGATGCACAGCACAGTACAGAATCGCCGAGGTCACATATCGTGACCCGATTGTACGTTTAGTGGTCTTGCGGCCAGCATGGGGTTCTGGGATGGCTTTCTGGCCCTGAACCCAACGGAAAACATGGAGCTGAAGTTTTGTAATGTAAAGGCTAGCCTCTCATTATTTGAACAGTACAGTCGTGACACAACAGGGTCTGTATTCTCTAAGAGGGCCTTATGAAAGACCAAAATAGGGTCTGTATTGTTTCAGGGGGCGCTAATGAAAGACCAAAATAGGGTCTGTATTGTCTCCGGGGGCACTTATAAAAGAACTGTATCTGGGGTATTTCGTTTTTTACAAGTATATATTGCTGTAATTAAAAATGTGGCGTGGTGTGAGTGTGATGTGATGAGATGTGGGTGAGATGTGATGTGGATGTAATGTGATGTAATGTTTTGTATGTTGTTAAACGCTGCACTCAGCAATATTCCAGCAAAAATGACGGCGGTCTGTAAATAATCGAGTCTTTACCAGACAATCCAGTGATTGACATGATGTGAAGGGATGCGATGTAATGCATGTGATGTGAGTGTGAATCGGTAGATCTGCGAGTTCATGTATAAGCAGGTGATGTCATACATCCTACTGCTGTCTGTGTTGGTTGAGTGAATGGCAGTGACAACACAGACAGACAGACAGACAGACAGACAGATCGGTGCGAGTTTTCTTCACGACAGGCTGTTTATCCGATCCTGCTGAGTGGAAAGAGAAGGATTTGGCGAAGCGCAGATTGTGTGACTTTGTTGTGTCATTGGGTTCGCTGTGATGTTCAATGTTCATGGAGGCGGCTGTGTGGAAAGTTGACATTCCCGATGTGACAAACGAGGAGGCAGTTGATGTGTGCACGTTGGTCAACATCGGTGATAATGTCCTCTGCTGTCTGGGCTTCAGGAAGGATTAGATATCGATGGGATGTGGTAATTTTGTGACCCGAAGAGAGTATAATATTTGAATACTAGTTTTGTGTTTCTAAGTTGATGAAGTATAAAGATCTATTTTCTAGTATTGATGTGGGTTGTGTTTATGTCTAGGTATGATGATAGAAATGCTTCAACAATCGGTAATTGGTGCAAATTCATTTATTTTTCTTATTGTGAATAATTTATTGTTATTATATATTTTTTATATTACTTTATACTTTAATTTCAAGTTAGATTTGAATCAGTATTCGATGTAAGCATGATGAATAAAAAACTATTAACTTCTCATTTAAATTTGTATTTTTTTTTATGCTTCGAACATGACTTTGCCTAGGTAACTGAAATAAGATCAGTGTATAAAAAAAAGAGAACAATTTGCCACACCACCAGAATGTTTGTTTGTTGCTTAACGCAATATTTCAGCTGTATGACGGTGATCTGTAAATAATCGTACGAGGCCCTAATGAAGAATACTGAAAAGATTGGAATCCATGCAATTACGGTGTATTCGTATAACACATTAACTCTGATTACTGGACAAAATAGTGAGTGTGTTTTGCCACAGATGTGAAGCATTTTTAATTCATGAAGCAAAAATGTGAAGATGTTATTGTTTGTTGTTTAACGCCGCACTCGGCAATAATACAGCCATATGACGGCGGTGTGTAAATAATCGAGTTGGACCACACAATCCAGTGATTGACGTAATGAGCATCGATACGCAAATAGGATATGAAGACATGCAGCAACCACACTGCGAAACACTTAATTATGCTTCAGACTCTTCATATTACAAGAAATTGGCTGATACAATGAAGAAACAATTATATTCAGCCTATGGTTTTACAGCTGCAGCAGACAAAATAACTTGTCTCCATATACAAATCCAAGCCCATCCCCCTCCGGATCCAGTGGGGAGGGGATGACGTGTGTGTGTGTGTGTGTGTGGGGGGGGGGGGGGGGGGGGGGGGGGGGGGGGGGGTGTGTGTCAAGGGGGACCAGTATTATGTTTTAGACAACCTGAAACAAAACGTGCGGGCTCGCTTGCCTGTTGTTGTTTTTGCTAGCCTGGGTTCCTCAAATTTCATGTTTTCGGGTTTCACTTTTTTCTAACGTTTTCTTTCTGTTCTCAGTTGATTGGCTACTGTTTTTGTGGGCGTGTCAAAGTATGTGCATAAATTAAACAATCACCTGATTCATGTTGCGCCACTGTTTGCCCTGTGCCTGGAATGTTTATCAATGGGTCCCAATGGGTCCCTTTCTATAAGTATTTTTGATTAAACTATTGTAAATAGCTCATGTTTTCGTTGTCGAATTTATTTATGAGGATTGACTGTATTATTTTCGGTTCATTGATGTATGGATGGAAAAACCGATGTGCAAACTGTATGAATCCGTCTAGCAAATTCTAACAAAAGTCTGCACATTGGTTCTTACCTCAATGAACCGAAAAAAATACACAGTCAGTCCTTAATAATATAGTGGATTATTCATGTGGTCAGGTGTGTCGAAAATGTGTTGAAGCTTAGCTAGCTTTGGGAAGTGTTCAAAATCGAAGCTAATGACCCAATGTGGGCACAAATAGGCATAAGTATAAGCACAATTTAAGATAGATATATTTAAGAAATGAAAGCATCAAACGTATTTGTTGTTAACGCCTGCAAGGCCACCACGTAAACATTCGTTCCCGGCAGTTGGTAAAACTTATCAATTTCTTCTTTCATTCACACCTTTGTAATAACATTTGTATCCAGGCTGTGAATGTAGACTACAAATTACAACACCGTGAACACACGGAGGGAGTCCGCCCCGGACCACATTTTATTGAGGAATGGTACGTGATGGTGTCAGGGTCACGCACTTTCCAGTGTATTTTAATCCTGAGGTGATGAAAATTACACATATTCATTCCACTTATCGTCAATTATTAGTTAAATTTGGTAAACAAAA